AAGGTACCAGCAGTCTTTGGGATGGCACGAACAAGGGGGATTTGGAAGTACTAAAGGAGCCTCAAATTTTCTTATAGACACACTTTTACAAAATTGCCATGAACATAATTCTGTGTAGCCTCACAGAGACTCAGTCCCTGGATATAGAAATGGACTCATTTAAAACCTTGGGGTTTGTTGGTAGTGAGAGGATTATTTTTCTCCCCTTCACATAAAATGAATGAGCACTGAATAAAAGGAATAAAAATATGAATTAATTAAAGAAATAATTTCCAGAAAGATCACACCTCTTCCAGTCTCTGTGGGAGTGCATCTGTGCAGTGGCCACTTCACATCATGGGGCAGTTGTTCTATGTGCTTTGTCAGATCTGCCATATGCAAAAACCATGGCCTGTAGGGTTAGGCTTAGAGGCTTCTTCCACCCCTATATCAACACCACAGCTTGACCTGTTCCATGTGTTTGTCATTAGTAAAAGTCTAAGCAGAATCTGCCCAGTTTGGGTTTTGTGCATGTTTAATCCATCTTTAAACATCCTTCAGTACCATCAAACTGGTAACTTTATGACAACATTAGTGGATCACATGCAGAAAGTAATTGTGTATAAGATAGATTTTGTGCTTACCTGTATGTTTGCTTTTCAGCATGTCATTTGCACGGGGTTGTGGTGTAAGGTAGAAAGTGAGAGCGAATGCAAAACTAAACTGGACCCACCAATGGATGGAACAGACTGTGACGCTGGAAAGGTATGTTCCTGGTGAAAAAACAATGCCAATTATATTGAACAGTTCAGGAAACAAGCTGAAGATATCTTTACAGTCATTTAAAGTTTCTGCTTACCTCAAATGTAATAAAAATCATACTTAGCTGAACCTATTTTATGTTATACATTATAGAATGTAGAGATGTACATTTCCCTAAAAAAGTACATTTCCCTTGAAGAACCAAATTTAAATAAAAGCTTAGCCAAAGCCACAGATGTTTTAATGCTTACACTATTTTATTTCAAATTTACTCTGGTTTTGTAGCCTATTCATTTAGATTTAGAAATAGTCTCATAGAAGGAGTTGAGACATACTTGTGATAAAACTTTTCAAGATAAGCTTTGTAAAAAAAAATTTATGTCGTCAGTGTGTGTAAAAGAATGATAAATATCATTAAAATTATACCATCAAAGGCAAATTAAACGGTCACCTGAAATCAGACTTACATTAAATGTCCTTCAAGATTTTTCCTGTTCGAATAGTTTGTCATTTCTTTACATAACTATAAATTAAGATAAATAACCTCAAATAGGTAACAGAGCAGGAGCATGCATATATGTTAGGATTTTCATGATACTGTGTTGACAGCAGTCTCCCACAGGAGTAACTTGCTTTTTCAATCATACTACACTCACCAGGACTGCCATCATGCCCCTAAAAAAGTAAACAAATCAATCAACTGAGTAAGATAAAATGTTCAGATAATATAATTTTACAAGTAAAGGAAAAACAGACTTTATGTGGTTTTGTATCTATAAAATAATGACATCTGCTGCGATCTTTTCATTCTGCTAAATGTGTGTAATTGATGTCTTGTCTTAAGTCGATACCTGGAAAGTCAGAGACGTGCCATTTGTTCTATGTTGCATTCTTTATGTGGAGAGTGGTGTGCCCATGATGTGGAACTGTAAAGAAGTACTTCCTAGTAAGACTACCCAAAATTTTATATTGTGAAAGCATGGCCATCGTGAACTGGGCACCCAAAATTAGTGTGCATTTTCAGTATTAATGTCTGACATGCAAAAGGTGATAACAGCAACTCATTGCAGAGTATTCAATCCAATCGTATACTTCTGGGAGCATTATAATACAGTAGTGACACAGGTTCTGGGAGGGTCCAGTAAGGAAGGTAACACTATTTTCTTAGCTAGAAGAGAGTAAATAATTAGTAAGGGTAAGACAAAGTACTGATTCTAATCAGAATGGCCCACTGAGCCTTTTCTCAGGCTACAGAAATATTTATGTCCAGCATTAAAAAACTATTCAGACATCACTGAAATTTCCCAAAGGATTAGAAGCATTTCTTCTTCTCCTCTTGGATCTTAGGAAATGATGCAAATGTCATTTGCATAACCAGTCCAACTTGGTTCTTTAAGTCAAGGATTCATCAGCATCCCAAATACTCTACATAAGACAGGTGCCATCCCTAGAGGGGAAAAACAAAAACAAAAAACAAACAAACAAACAAACAAAAAAAAAAAACCAAGAATGGCTAGTATATCTGAAGGAATATCTTTAAATAAATAAGAGCATTTTTGGTTTGAATCATCCAAGGACATTACAAATAGTTTCTAATTGCAAATCCAGTATAACCCATCCTATGTGAAGACTTTTCAAATGTGGTATAATTATGCCATCATTCTAATGCCATGATTTAAGATCAATTGATCTGTGAAAACCAGTTCAAAACTGCAGGTGAATTTCAAGGTCACCAGACAAGGGTGTAGCACTTGCACTGCGTGGAATGGAAGTGTATTTCTAGAAGTGACAAAGGCCTTTATTAACTGCATTAGTGACATGTTTTGTTCTGCTTCAAATATGAGACTCCCTCATGAACTTTATCCATTGATAACTAATTCACCAATAATTCAGAGTGCAAAGGGAAATGTGTCAAAATACTGATGTTAATAACATAAAGTGTTTATTGTCTACTTGTAGATTTATTGCTTTGCAGTTCCTGAAATTTCATAATACATGGGACAGATATTCATCTGGTTAATAAAATACTAGTTTCTGTAGAGTTACGATGGTTTATACCAGGTAGGGGCATAGCTTACAGAGTGTAACAATAGAGGATGGATAGTTTTTCAGTAAGAAATTGCACTTCTCCTGGGAAATGATATATGCATGCAAGACTATTGAAGTGACTATTATTATGATTTAAATAAATGTCAGAAATTCTCTTGCCTTTCTCAACTCTAGCTTATCAAGGCTTCCCTGTTCTCTTTGAATACGAGTTGTGAAGAAAATCTCATTGTCTTTATTACTTGTAATATATCCTTCTGTTGAAATTGTCACTGAATAATCAGTGATAATGCAGTTCTTGCTAGTTATGTGGGAACTGTAATAGTGATCTAGAGAACTCCTGAGAGCAGCCCTGGACTCTATGCTGTGATCATCCATAAAGTTCAGATGGAGGATGATCCCTGCAGTGAGTTTGGGCAGGACTCAGAAGTTCTTTCCTAGGCACTTCTCAGGCTCAAATGAAGCACGGTCTGGAGACCATTTCCAGCAAGCTAGTCCTAGAGGCATCCTTCGCTGGGAATTAACTTGTACTTGAGCTTGTGGACAAGAGTTACACCTGTGCCTTAACCACTGAGTCAGAAAAAGGTCTGGCTCTTGTATTTCATAGAATCATAGAATGGTTTGGGTTGGAAGAGACCTTTAAAGGTCATCTAGTCCAACTGCCTGCAGTGAGCAGGGACATCTTCAACTAGATTGGGTTGCTCAGAGCCCCCTTCAACCTGATGTTGAATATTTCCAGGGACGGCAAAACTAAGAAAAAAAAACGTAGGGAACAAGACGAAAAAAATATATCTGACTCATAGGAAAACTGTGTACTGAACAAAATGTTTATGTTGTGCTTCCCATGTGCTTGTGGAGCAGTGAATTGTCTTGCATATGCTTTGATTTATTTACCTAAGAGCTGAATTTTCACCTAGTGGTGTAAGGCTGGAGAGTGTATCAATCGGACCTCTTTTTCGGAGCATGTGGAGGAGGACTGGAGCACGTGGAGCACATGTAGCCGTACTTGCAGCACTGGAATCAGCAGTCGACAACGCAAATGCCCTGGGTAAAAACAAGTTCAGGTTTTCATTGCTGTTCATCAGAATTTCCAAACAGAACTTAAATCTTCTGAGTACAGAAACCTACTAAGATATAGTTGTACTACACATAAGCAATTCATTGTTTATGATTCCTGAAAAACACAGGAGAATAGAGATTTCAGGGTTTTTTCTTGCACAGTAACACTGTTTTTCCTCTTCTCTGCTTCCGTCAAAAGCTTAGATTATTTTAATAGGAAAATACAATTTTATTTTTAAGCTTCACCTGAAGAAGCAACAGAAGATTAAATATGCAATTTTTGTATTTGCAGGGCGTCAGTATATAATGCTAGTCTTTCAATTTATTTTTTTTCCTTAAATAATTGACGTCTGTCTCTTTTTGGAGAGCCATGGAATTGCAACTTTTCCAAAGAGATATTTCTGCCAGTTTCACAAACTTTTAGATAAAATATCTCAAAATTACATCTAGATTCTGTGTCTTGTGAAAATTAAAACCTTGTGGCATTGAGGATAAAGGGATTTTTACCATTGACTTGGATGGAGTCTCTTTTGCCATACCTCAGTGGCTAGCTAAAGATATTTCCTTTCTTATTACTCAGTACCATAACTCTCCTTTGTGTGTCATTTGTACACCAAGAGAAAAAGAGTAAATAGGCAGAGAAGTGTGAACAGAGTAGAGCTGACTAATGAAGACAAGTGTAGCTAGAAAACTAGACCAGATCAGATTAGGGAAGGATAGGGCAGGACAGGGTAAAGTAGATGATTTATGAAAACAATAGAACAAAACAGTGAAATTAAGAAAGATGAAAGAATATAACAGATTTTGGGGAAAAAAACTATGACAGGAAAGACAGAGGGATTAAAAAAGAGAAGTTTGCCTAAGGAAATGTGAGGAAAACTTAGATACAGCTATACAAAAGTATGACAGTTTAGCAGAAATCTTAGGTATGCAGTCACAGAATTATAGAATGGTTTGAGTTGGAAGAGGGACCTTTAAGATCCCCTAGTTCCAACCCCCTGCCGTGGGTAGAGACACCTCCCATTAGACAGGTTGAGCAAGGCCCCGTCCAGTCTGGTCTTTAACACATCCAGTGATGATCATCCACAATTTCTGTGGGCAACCCATTCCAGTGTCTCACCACCCTCGCAGCAAAGAACTTCCTTGCATCTAATCAAAATTCACCCTCTTGCAGTTTGCATTCATTACCCCTCATCCCATCACTACAAGCCCTTGCAAAAATGTCCCTCCCCAGCTTTCTTGTAGGCCCCCTTTCAGATACTGGAAGGCTGCAGTAAGGTCTCCCTGGAGGCTTCTCTTCTCCAGGTTGCTTTCATATTTCCTGCCACCTAAATGCCACTTCCATCTGTATGCATAAAAGCTATTTCTAAGATTTAGGGATGTCTTAATTTCACTTTCATTCATTAATTTTTCCAGGCAAGGTTCCAAATAATTAGCTCCAGTTTCTGCAGTTCACTGTTCTTTTGCATTTGTTCATTAGGACCTGCAAGCACAACTGGAGCGACCAAAAAGAAACAAAGCACATTGTCTGAACTTCGCGACACCACACTTGTAGAAAAGCAGAGGTAGCAAATCTGCAGGTTTTTGGGGTTTTTTTTTTTGGTTTTTTTTTTTTTTAACCTTTGGCTCAGTTCAGCTAGAGAAAAATCACCTGAACTATATCAAAACTGCAGCTGAGATTCTACTTACTGAACACTCCTACTAGTCCTTGTGCTTCTTTGGGGCCAAGTGTAAATTATGGTTTAGCATCTGTGGCTCTTTGTATGTAATATAACCAATGCAAACAGAAGGAAAACAAAGTTCTGTGACTGCTTTTTCGTGGGTAATTTCTTAATGTTCTGTGTAAAAAAAAAAAAAAAAATAAAAAATCTGCTACTTAAATTGAATTTGTGTATAGCATAAATAAACTGTGCTCTAAGTTTGACAAAATATTACCACCAATAAAGTCTGATATTTATGCCATCTTTTCTAGTTCAGGACTTGAAGGAGAGTGTCACAGTCCTACAATACAGTATAGAGTATGTGAAAATCCTTCTTGTCCTGCTGGTGTGCCTGCTTTCAGGGACTGGCAGTGCCATGTTTTCAGTGCCAGGTCTTCATACCGGAAGCACATACACCAGTGGCAGGCTGTCATCAATGAAGGTAAGTGTAAACTATCTCCTACATTCCTATTATCTGCTCACATGGGTTATAGCTTGTCTGTATTGTTGTTGATAAAGAAAGATGTAGTAAAAATTAAAGCAAACAAGCAAACAGAACCCAAGCCCAAGATTTTTGGTTACTCATTTTTATTTCATAGACAAGATTTGGTGGTATTTTCACAAGTTCTGGAATTTTTTCTCTTATATTCCTGTTGAATTTGTCCTTGATATGTAATGATTACATTTAAACAGAAAATCAGTATCAGTTTGGTCCTATTTAATCAGAAATGTAGTATGAATTAACTCAGAAATACTGCTTTCTAGAGGAATGCTACATCATTAAGCATCAGTTCTACTTACAAAGCTGGTGAGACAATATGGATATTGGATATTGATGGATATTTCTGAGGAAGAAGAGAGCACTTTCAGCTTAATCCTTGAGTGTTTCACATACCAGTGCTTGATTTTGGCAGAAATCCATTTGCAATGCATACTGTAAACTTAGATAAGATTTTTATAAGTCCTAACAGCTACTATGTGCAAAGTCCTGGCATACTGAATGCTTGCTTCTGTGTAACAGATTTGCTTAGATACTGTATAATTAGGAGTGTACTCAAATAGGATTAGCATAATGTCAAAATTACAGTTTCTGCAAAGATAATGTTTGTGTAAAACATCAGTATGTAGAGAACAAAACGTTCTATCCAACGTCTTTCTAGGAATGTGAACAATAGTTGCCATTCCAATGAATTTTCTCTAAATTGTTATGATCTAAATTAATTAAAAAAAAAAAAGAAAGATAAAAAGAAGAAAACTAAATAAAGTTATGAAAACAATTAATTTAAAAAGCTGTCAAAATCATTATGACTGGTCATAAAGAAGAGCCTGGAATGACACAGGAGTACTCTTAAGTATGTGTGACCACATTTTAAGTAGTTCATTGTTGCCATTTATTTTTAACACTTAATTATCCAAAAGCATTGGAAAGCATAGGTTCTGAGAAAACTATTTTGCTGGGTCAAAAAAAAAGTGAATTTATTATCAAGAACTTAGTCTAGTAACTAAACAAGGGGATTGTTGTTTTCTAAGCCTTTATTCAAGATGCCAAAGTTAGACAAATTCGTTAGACTGTTTTCTTCAGGCTTTTGTATTAGCTCATTTCATAGTAAAGAGAACTTTCTCCAGCTATTTATTTATTATTTTCTTAGCTATTTATGTATTTATCCATCTGCTAGTGAATCAGTTTTGGTTTGTTTTGCATTTTAGCACAGCTAGGGATTATTTATATTCTAAGTGATCAAAATTTTTCAGCCTGACTTTGAATTATTCAGTCATCTGATGAGAAATCTTGACACTCTCCTGTCCTGTGTTGAGGAGTAGGGATGGTTGGTTTCATCTAACTTTGTTCTGAGAGATCCTTTTGTCTTGAGGTATCCCTCAGGAGACACAAAAGTGGGTACCAGCTGAAGACTTCTGGTATTACAGAAATAGATTCTTCCCAAATCCTTAATTATTTACACTCATAGACTTTAGTAGCTACTAAAGTGCACCATGTCCAAAATAGTTGCTATATTTGAAGTCTCCTGTAGTCTGTTGAAGTTGTCCAGTGCTGCTGAGTTACTATCTATTTGAGTTCACTGTCCTTAAAAAATTGTTTAGTTTGTTAATCTGGTATTCCTTTAAAAAATGCTGATACATGCTTAAAGCTCACAGGGGAATTTAGGATTACTATTTAAGGAGCATAACAGAAATGCAGAGGGCACAAACTCAGGCAGAAGAGTCATGCTTCTCAGCCAGAGGTGGCTTGTGTCTGACTGGCTTCGCATTTTGGCAAAAGAGATCACATCTATTTGCACCATCTATTTGCACCAAAAATACCTAGAGGCTATGTCAGTTTGAGTACATTAAATCTGCCCAAGAACACTTTTTTGATGTGTAAGTCACTTGGTACAGCAGTTCCATGTCCATCCTTTTCAACTTTTTTTGCACTCTGAAAATGATGGTGACATCCAAACTGCTTTTTGGAAATGGTCCTTTGCAGGTGGCAATTTCCAGTTTAGACCAAGCTAGTCAAGCAGGAAAAAAAAAAAAAAATGTGGCATAGACTGTTTTACAGTTCAGCTGTATAGACAGTAGATTTCCAGTGCCCATGAACTTTTCCTGGAACTGTTTAATTTACTAATAAAAAAACACTCCAGGAATCTAGAAATCAGTATGAAGTCAGAGTGGTGTAGATTGTGTCCAAGTGAAATCAGTTTCAACTTCAGAATTGACCTTATCCTTTAAAAAATCTGCAACATATTTAGAAGTTCTGAGTCAGTACACTTGTGAATAAAGAAATGAAAAAAATCATGTCATTTTGTGCTCAACTGACCACAGAGAGGAGGCTTAGTTTATTTTATTTGGTATTGCTTTGGCAGTAGTGAAGCAAACTTCATTACTTATAAATTATGACCATTAGGAATAGATGGTTACAGAGGATATTATTGCTTTTTATTCACTTTCAAAATTAGAATTTATTTGTAGAATGTTTTGGAAATGTAGTAGAAAATTGCCTGACCTTGGTAAAGATGTTAGAAAGAACATGTTAGTCTTTCTTTTGTTAGTTTTGTTAATGTGGACTTTGCAAATCCATATATTTCTCTTCCCAGGGTGTCTCACTTGCTTAATTTTTTTTTTATCTTTTCCTGCATAGTTAGAAAATCTGGAAAGTGTTAGGTTTCTTTTTTAAACATATTTATGATCTGCCAAAAATACAGTAGAATGAAAGTATAAATTACAACCAAAATGCTCCAGCAGCTGCGATGTGCATATTCTTAATTGCAACAGTGAACTTGAGTACTATGTAGGCCAAGTTTACAGCACTAGTATGCTTTAGCAGGAAAAAGAACTTGAGTTTTTCAAACAGCTGAGAAAAGGGTCAAAATCTTTTTGTTTGCACTGCATCTAAGATAACTTATTATTCTAATGTAGATTCGTGCCACAGAGATATGCAAATACCACTTTTAAAAAGGTTGGTAATAATTCTGTACTTGCAAAATAATCTTTTACCAATTTGGTGTTTTTTTCCATCAAATGCTACTGTAGAAAAGCCATGTTCCTTATTCTGTTCCCCGTCTGGAAAGGATCAACCTGTTCTCCTAGCAGAAAAGGTGATGGATGGGACTTCTTGTGGCAAGCATGGGCTAGACGTCTGTGCAGATGGTAGATGCCAGGTATGAATTACTTGTTTTGAACCTGGATACACAAGTAGACATATGCAAGTGCATAGATTTGTTACATGTATGTGTTATTTCACAGATAGCACAGAGACTGAATGTCTCTTTTTATATAATATTGAAATATTTTAAGCTAATATCACTCAGTGCAACACACTGTGTGAAGCAGCTGAAGGGTTAGCTTGGGGGATGTGTGTCTGTGTTGATAAGGATGCTAACAGTAAAGTGCTGCAGAGTGAAAAATGAGTATAAAGGATTGAATTTTTTAGAGGGAAGCCTTGGCTTTTAACAGGTTTGGAAATTTTGCCATGGGGTGTATGCGTGTGTGTCTAATTCTGTCTTTTTCAACTAAAGCTGAGTGCTTATGCTATTCCTGATCCTCAGAATTCATTCAGTTTACAGAATTTCTTTTGTCATTTTTATAGTGCCTTGTATGTATAAAAATACCATAGGGCTGTGTTTTATTTTGTCCACTTCTCATTGCATACATTGAATTCAACAGAAAACCCAACCTTTAATGCAGAAACAACTTTGCTAGGTACTGTAATAACTTCAACAAATTAACTTATAGATACACATATGTATATATACATGCATACAAATGCCTATATGTCTTTATAGTTACCCTTTCTAATGTGACTGAGGGTATATAATGAGAACACTCTTAAATTCTGTGCTGAATTGGGACTTTAGTTCACCATATAACAATTACATGGTTAACCATAAAGACTGTGACCCAGTTTCAGAAAAAAAATGTTTGTTTTGTCATTCACTTTTCACAACTGGCTAATAAAGACCAAAAGAGCCTTAAAACAAAATCACCTAAGATTAAATTGCCTTCTTGGCATATCAATGGTCAGACAGCTAGGTGCTGATCAGATTTGAAAGTTTAATTTGTAAGATTTTCCTCATTTTACCATTTTGTTAGACAACACATTAGGAAGAACTTTGAGGACTACAGCTGTAGGTTTAGGTATTCAGATCTTGCAGATGTGCCGTTTTGGATACACAGCTCTTTGAATGCTTATGCTGTAATCAATATTTTGAAATCTGTTTTAGGTACAACTCTAGTAAAAATTCTGTTCCTAAAGTGAAGTAACAATCTTAATGTGCTTGGAAATGAAATGCTCCATGACAGATTGTGTTTCTGTTCTTTATTTTCTCTTTAACCTAGCTTTTATCTTCATTATTCAACAAGCAGTCTTGAAATTTAATTGGTTTTTTTTCAGATGCATTTATACAGCACCCAAGATTACCCTGTGATGACTTTTCCAGACTTTAAAAGGCTTTTGTCTCATATCAGGCCAGCATATGATATTAACTGTATTCCTGTTGTCAATGGACCACTGACATTTATTGACAGAAATGTGTCTAACAGTAATATGGAGGTTCTTGAGTAAACTTAATTTGTTTTAAACTGAAAAAAACCCACAAATATAACTTACATTTACATATTCCAGAGATGTTCACATCTTATTCAGGATAACACATTAGGCTGATATTAGACAGCATTTTATCATTGTGGGTGTGGAAAAGAACCTACCGTATTTTGCGTAGAAGGCAGTTGTACACGCCGTAGTTGCTCAGCAGGATGGCTTGGTTCTGCATAGGAAGAGTTAATGCAACAATCTACATAAAATCACAGAAAAATTTACTGTGGAAGGGGTCTCTGCACATGACCTGGTACAACTTTCCTTCTGAGCAGGGCTAGATTGTCTTGGTTAGGACATCTTGCAAAAGAGTAAGATACCCACTGCTAAAGGCAGCTTTAAGAAAAACATGGCCTGTATCTCAATAGCTTTATTTTTGTCTCCCACAGAAATTTGGCTGTGATGGCATATTAGGATCTCTGGCTCATGAAGATCATTGTGGTGTATGCAATGGTAATGGAAAGTCATGCAAAGTTATTAAAGGTGATTTTAACCACACGAGAGGAGCAGGTAAGTCTATTTCAAATACTCAAGAAACTAGTAACTGGTTACTTGGAGCACTGGAAATTTTTAGAAACTATACTTACTAAAATTATACAGTTTCTCACAAGAACTTCAGAGCTACTTTTTTTAACATAATATGATATTTAAGGTCAGAATACTTGAGTATTTCCAAATTAATTGCTGCAAAATTATTGCAAATTGTTTCAATTATAAAATTAAAGGATTGTCTAATTTATTTTCCATTAAGACACATTATTTCTCAAAAGAGCCTGATTTTTAAAAGATCTGTGAAATAAAATTTGTATTTTTAGTAAATACATTAACTGTACATTTTTCTAGTGTTTCATTTAGTGGTCTTCAAGATAAATACCTAAATTATTACCTGTTATCTATCGTAACTCCATTAATACAAGCCAGGCAGGAGAAGAAAAAAAAGCCTAATGTGTCCTTCATCTTTTCATTATTCATTGTTTTATACTAATAATAACATCATAAAAAAAGCCAATAGATCTTTTGATGCAGAAGGAACATGAGATTTTCAAACACTGCTCTGTTCTTCAAATGAGAATGACTGGCTCCAGCACAACAATGTTGACACAGTAGAAGATTGAAAACCTAATGATGTGTGCCATGCATCATGTATACCTGCTCTCCAAGGAAAGTTTTCTTTGAGACAGCATTTGGCCAACTGCTTTCAGCATTTGTTTGCCATTACACTTTCAGTTTCTTGAGTAGAAAATATACAGAATTTCAAAGCAGTAAGTAAGTCACATCAAAAAATACTGTGATTTGAAGCAGACACTATACCTTTGAAAAATCGAGGACTTCAATGCATTATAGGCTCAAGTATAGTACTTTAAAAATAAAAAAATTAGGCACAGTCTTCAGATGTTGATGTCCTGCCCACTCTTATACTGAAGGTAATGCAGAGCAGGGATTCTAAACCACAGATGAGTCTGGAAGACTACAAGATCAAAAACTACAAAGAAGATGGCTACTAACAGAAATTACAGTATGACAGATCTCTTTTGTAGCTAATCTGAATATCCACACACTTTCAAGTTTATTGAAGGTTCTATGTCAATCCACAATATTGTAGTATTACCCTTTAAACAACAAATAAGTTATTTCCCTTCTCCAGAAGCTGGACTGTCAGCAATACATAGGAATTGTTATTAGGTTTTAAGGAAGTTAAAGATAAATAATGCTGCTTTGCATTATTTTTTAATTAGTATTTTTAAAAAATATTTTCATTTTAATTTCAGGATTATTGAAGAGGTATTATAAATGCTCAGTGTTTTGTTATAGATTGTTACACAGCTATATGGAATAAAAACTGGGTTTATTGTCCACTTTCTGAAGTTCACCCTAATAATCTAAAGTATGGATTTTTCCTGCTTGCACAGTGTTTTTTACCTGCATTGCCTTTTAACCCTTTTTACTTAAGGCAAGTTCCTCAACAGCATGTCTTAGTCCCACACTCTGAGGAACTGATTATAATGTAAAGCAAATAACAAATAAGTAGATGTCAAAATTAAAACCATTCATAACAGGGTGTCAATGTGTTAAATGAAGGAGGAGATGGACCACAAAATATTAAACAAACAAACAAACAAACAAAAACACCAGGAAAACACAAACAAAAGCAAAAAAACCAGACAGTGGGAGATGTTTGGATTTAAGTGACATCTCATTTGTCTCTACATGCTGAGTGAAGTTGGAATTCATTTATGGTCGTCTGGGGGTGATGATGACATTGAAGTACTTGGCAAGAGACAACTTCATTTACTCCAGTCCCACCCTGTCCAGCCTCAGTAGTTCCTTTTATGTTTTAGTTTGCTATACTCTTTTAATTATATATTCTGGTGTATATATATCAGAATACATACATATATATATATATGTATAACACATAAAGCAGAATTTCATCATTTGTTTCAACATTTTGCAAGAACCCTCAAACCATTGTTATTTAAATTATAACTCATTACACTTATAAAAAGAAATAGGGGAGAAGAAATGAGAAAACATATAAGATATACTTTTCTGCACTTTTGTATTTAACTTGGAACATCTGGTCTCATGCCTAGGTTATGTGGAAGCTTTGGTCATACCTGCAGGTGCAAGGAGAATCAAAGTTGTGGAAGAAAAACCTGCTCACAGTTATTTAGGTAAATGTCGTATATTTCAGTGTTCATGTCCTGTTTCACGCAGCACCAAAGAGGGCTAGCTAAACTGCTTTTGTGATTAAACAAAACTCTGAGTGGAAAAAGTATTCTGTGAAGAATACCTCTAAAGAAATTTTGTAGAACTAACAAAAGTATGGTTATAACACAATTATCCATTTAGATTTTATTTTGGACTTTTGTCTCATCTCATTTTGTTTAAAAAAGTTTGAAATAATCTATTTACATGATTGAAGAAAAGTTCTGCATATTTTAGCATTTTCAATTTTTGATATGGAGAGCACTAAAGAAAATACTTCACCTTAAAAGTAGTGAATAGAATTTTATACTGAAACCTGGAGTAATTTATGCTCAGATGACAAAAATACCACACTAACCAACATATAGCAAATTACCAACGAAGTCAAGCAAAAGTTCTAAAATCAAAGAAAGCAGGAAAGTATTTCTTTGCATTATTTTTAATTGTCTGAATATTTTAATGGACAAATTTAATCATAAAGATATTTTATTTTTAGTTTTCCCATTTCTATAAAATTGTCTTTCTTTGAAAAAAGGGAGTTTCTCTTTTGATGAGTTCTAAAACTGTTGTGTAGGTAAGTATAACTTCTTACTATTGCTGGTTGAGGGTTTAAGTGGTTGCACGTAATCGGTGCTGTTCCATGCACTGCTTAAGCTTAAACTGAGAGAGACTTAGTATGGGACGATGAAATGAAAAATTCCCTGGTTTGATCACTATTGTAGTTCTGCTTAAATAATTACTGATAAGTAATACCCCCATTTTAAGAATTTTTTATCTGAGTGTTCTCAGTACTTCAGTTGAGAGAATGCTGAAGATGGTGAATCTTAATTATGACAGCCTAAGCTGTCAGTGGGTGATTCTTGGTTTATCAGGGAGTCTGAATCTGCCCTGAGAAGATGTCACATGAGATTTAGAGATTGGATTTTTCCTTTGTTCCCTAATGGACCATAGACATAGGTATGTAGGAGTGTCAAATCAATAACTGAAGATTCCTTGGCATATTTTCTAAATTTCCCAAGCTAATTTCCCCTCTGTCTCTACTGTATAAAATACGCGAACAACAGAAATACTTTTTTTTTTTTAAATAATGTAAAAGTAAATAAATGTTGTTATTGTATTTAGGGAAATTAATTCCTTTTTCATGCTTAGCAAACTGATTCATTCCTTACCTTACAAAGGGAAAAAAAGAATGTAATGCTTTTTATGCCCATTAAATAATGTTGGTCATGCTGCTTATTTTTGAAAGGTGCTAATTAGCACATAATCAGCTCTTAATTGCTTGTCACATTAATTTTACTTTTCTTACATTCACTAATGTTGGTCTGAATGAGTACCAGCTAGTACTGCACTGCAGTATTTTTTTTGTTGAGCATTTATGGGGAAGCAGGAACAGGTCTGTTGCAGCATTTTGAATTAACATCTGTGTTGTTGCACCATTTTTCCTTCTTTTACCAGTAGAAGCTGTTTAAATTTTCTTCACATATAGGAGATTTATTCAGAAATTTAAAAAAAAACAAATCTGAATTGAAAAGGATTAACATTTTCTATAAGAATATTTTTCAATAGGAGTAACATAATGAAAGTTTTGGGGAGAAGGCATAAATCTCTGATCCGTAGAAATACATTCTTCAAAATACTGTGATTAATGATATGGAATGTAATGCAGATTACATTTTCTCATGTTTCCGATTTCTTTTCTATTTTCTAGTTCTATATGCTGATTTTATGTTGCACAGTACTTTGCTTTCTGTATTTCTATGCTTCAGTGAGTCAGTACAGACTAACACTTTCTGTTTTGCTAATTATCGTGTAAATATTTTAGGATTAAGGTTTTCTAAAAATAATAATAGTAAATAATTGTATAATCAGTGACACAGCTGTAAACACAATTTGACACAGTGTACACTAAAAGCTGTAGCTTACAAAGCAGAAGCTAATTCAAACTGAGAGAAAATTTTACTCCAGTTGTACAGCAGAGGTCAAATACAAAGGGAGTCAAAATTAGATACCCTTCTCTGAATTTACTTGGTGTTCATAAAGCAGCGTCACTATGATCTGGAACCTGCAATGATGTTGCCAAAGTAAGCAGCTAAGTAGAACTACAGCCCACATCAGTAGCATCCCTGGGTGATTATGGTATTGAAGCACATCTTCAGAGGAGTTATAACCAAACATCTTGGGTATCTTCTTTATTGGAGGTATATCAACATACACCACAGTAACAGAAGGTCTGGCATTCTGGGAGAAAAGGTATAACTTGCAACTGCAATTACTGAATCGATTTATCTGTCATGGTCTGTTCTATCTCTCCTCCCCTGTGGAGATGCAGGAGCAGTGGCAGAGCTAAATATTATGGCAGAGCCTTTCTGAAGTTGCATGAGAATATGTGTAAGAGATTTTGATTCTTCCTTCATTAGTAGAGCATTCAGGAATAGGAGTTATTTGTAGCTGTATAGAGGGGGAGGGGTGCCTATTTAAGTTGAGATGATTTCCTAAAGAATATGCTTACTCATTTTGGAATTAGAATTCATTATTTTAAGAAGGAATTTTGAGATTTATTTTTAAACAAGAAACTAGCAGTCATAAGCTTCTCTGTTTACAACTGTACATCAAGGGTTAGGGCTGGGCCAGCCACTAGATGAATGGCAAACACTATTAACCATTCTCCCTTCCCAAAGGGAAAACAAAGGGAATAAGGAAGAGGGACTTATAGGTTGGAAAAGGAAACTAAAAACAGTGTTAATGAAACAGTTTTAATGAAAATAATAACAATAAAATGAATTATATACAAACCCAATAATAGACACAATTGCCCTTTGATGGCAATTACATCACAATCACCACTGTTGCTGTAGGTAGGCACTGTGTAAGTCCCAGGCTGGACTCAGACAGACAGGAACCAAAGTCAGGAGCTGGATCCTGGAACTGGATTCAGACACACATAGATTGGGATCAAAGGCAGAATGGACAGTGTCCTACTGAGACACTACCACTGAAGAAGATAGAGGTGTCTAGTCCATAGGTGTATTGTGTTCCATCTGATTTCCTTTATAAAATATGTTTCCTACCTAAAAACTATCATGTTTCACCACATTTTGGGGGAGGAGGGTGCAGGAAAGCAGATGGGGTCTTAGCAAGTAGTACAAAATTTTGAATGCATAATTTCTGGCAATGCTAATAGATTTAAAATATTTTTGACCAAATCCTTAACTGTGTAATTTCTGCTTTCAAGGGCAGCTAGTTGAGGACCTGGTCCTACATCAAAGACCAGACTCAACTAAGAGTAAACAAATAATTTAAAAAAAAAAAAATGGCATTCACAGAGCTGTTTTTGAAAACAGAATGTTCAGAAACCTGAAGATACACAAATATATGGGACTTGATGAGATGCATCCCAGGGTCCTGAGGGAGCTAGTGAGCTAGTGTACCTGCCAATCCATTCTCAACCGTATTTGAAAAGGTATGACCATCAAGTGATGTTCCCAGTGACAAAGAAATGGTACTATTTTTAAAAAGGGTAATAAGGAGAAACCTGGGAACTACCAACTAGTTAATGTTACTTCAGCTAAAATTTTCAAAAAGTTATTCAAATCTCAAGTCTTAATGTTCTTAAGATGGCTTGGAGACAACACATGATAACCTGAATGAAAGTCAAAAAATGGCTTCCTTGAAAAAAGATACCAGTGAAGGTAGTCTCATTTAGAATTGAATTTCAGATATTTTTAGTACTTTTCTTGAGAAAATAAGTCAGTGAAAATGACATTGTTTAGTAGTTGTCTGGAGAGTATGACAATTTTGCACAAAGCAGAACACAAAATTCGCAATGCACAAAGATTTCAATTTTTGTCTTTTTTGGTACAAATGCCTTTTCCTTATCCTATCTGTAAAGAGTGGCAATTTCAGCTTAAGCAAAAATGTCAAAGTTAATATAGTGGTATAGTATTTTACAGTTTTCCATAGCAAACAGTAGAAGGATTAATAGGCAAAGGTTAATGAGTGGAGGGCCAGGACCAGCACTCTGTTGCTTCTCAGTGGGCACTGGAAGCTGCAATAGCTGGACTGTGGAAGGTTGCATCTCTATGGCTGTGTAGCCTCTCACACCTCATTAACATTAGAAGAGTTTATATCCCTGGTACATCAATTAAAAAAATACATTGCACACATCACCATCTTGTTATTGTGATAATGGCTATTTTATGTTCTGTACATATTTTATGTTCTGATACTATTGCAATTAGCTTTCTTGTTTTAGCACTGAAATTCTGGTCTTGGTTACAGTTCCAGTGGGTTTTCCCAGTTCAGATTAATTTGTCTTTTTAGTTTTAGATGTTTTGCTCTATTTGCTTTATAGCCTGAGAGGGGATATAGTATGTGCTGAATTTTCTTCTAATACTGCATTACTTTGTACAGGAAATCCTCCTCTACCAAAAGCTAAGCAGAGTGGGAGTATGTGTGTGGTGTGGAATAAAAGTTGCTGAACTCACTTGCAATATGGTGTGTGACAGAGTCAAGAACAGAAGCTGGACTCCCTGAATCCAAGCCTAAATTTTAGGGTTTCTTACTTCGTCTAGCCCCAGTGGCTGAAGTGAGGAGTCTGAAAGTGAAAAAATGCAGGATCTGGCATATTTCTGTAACCTGGGGCTGAGATTCCAGTCCCCTAGACATGTGTGCCTGCTGGGTCTGTTGGGTTTGCTGCTCTCCAGGGAGAGGATGCTGCTCCATCTGAGCAGCATGACCCAACTGGACCTCGGTGTTTTCGAGTACATTTTGTTTTGTTTCTCTGCTGGGAAGATGGTTGGTCCCTACAGTCTAAACACTAAGTAGAACTTAATTACTATTAATAATAGAATGTTTAAACCTAAAATACTATTTTTTAAATCTTATAAACTCACTGGTTATTTTTAGTTCAGGGCTGTGCTACAGTGTTAATGGGTTTTATACTCTAACTTTTATTACACAGTGATGCAGTGGTACACATCAGTGGTGCCTTATGCAACTGGATTTCTGCCAGTCCATAGACCTGTTGCCATTGTTTCCCATAGAAACAAAACATAACAGTATAAATCTGAATAGGAGAGAAGATGATTACAGGAGTGACTCACATTAATTTAAAACTTTAAAAAAAAATATTTGGACAAGGCTTAAACTGTTGAGTTTCTCTTACAGTAGTCTGATGCCAAACATGCAATTTCAGTGAAGAGGAATGCGTAAAACTTCTCGTCCAGAAGGTGACTTCGAGTATATTCTACTTCACGTAGTTATTCAGACCTGATCTGAACAAAATAAAATAAAATAAAATAAAATAAAATAAAATAAAATTACAAATCCTTCACAGAAAAAACTACTCTGTTTACTACAGAAAACTAATATAAAATCCTAGGTTCTCAATATATGAAGTATACGTTACCCAACTTGGTGACACTTTTGAATATAAATTAGGCCAACAAGAGGAATGATTCAAAAGAACAAGCTTTATTAATTTGATAGAAGCATCAAATTATGTGGTGAAAGTGTATAAATAAGTCTTTAAGTAGGGTGACAGCAGTATTGTCATGTTCTAAGGTGAAGAAAAAGGCAAATGTAATTATTGGAGGGGGAAAAAAAAATAACTAGTTTTTTTTTGACATTTTAGCCTTATTCCACAACTCTTACTGAGTGTCCTGTAAAAATTTTTTTTCCCACGCCTTTAGGGGTTATAGAAATTACCACCCTGAAAATACAGAATGGTTGCCTTTCCCTTAAATTAATTCAGTGATCAAATAATGAATTATGGTGGAGCCTGTCTGCCTCTTCAGGCATTAAAACACCAATGTTAACTTCAAGTAATGTTAAACACACGTGGTTTTGCCAAGCATTCCTTGTACAAAGTGTTTCTGAAGCATGTTGCAGCTGAAGTTCACATAGGGTAGAATCCATAAGTACCTTCACAAACAGAGTTACATGATTTCATCTACTTGTTAAATTATCCAAAAAAAAAGCCCCAAATCACTTCTGAACAGACACCTTTTATATTGGTCTTTTTTCATATATTTTGTAGCTCTTCGAGATGCTGGAAAACAGTCAATCAATAGTGACTGGAAGATAGAGCATTCAGGAACGTTCAATATTGCTGGGACTACTGTCCATTATGTTCGGAGAGGTCTGTGGGAGAAAATATCAGCCAAAGGTCCCACAACATCACCTTTACATTTGCTGGTACGACAATATGGAGTGCGGTTTTTTTTACCTGATTCCTATCATATGGCATGGTAACTACTATTTTTTTTCCAGGCTCGTGAGGATAATGAGATCTATGTAATATATACATCATTTCTATATTTATAAAATATATAAATAATTTTTTTTAAAAAAGAAAATCTATGTAAAAGCAGGCATATACATACATGCCTGCTTATATATAGATAGATCTGTCAGCCCAGTGCTAAAAAACTACATTTAAATACAAAAATAGTCTTTACATTGTTGAGGTGGGATGGAAGATCTCAGCATTCCTACAAATGCCATAAAAGGTTGATGTGCTGCATAAGACAAGGGGTTCAAATTAATATCAGATGTTTGTTTTTGTCCTGGCTGACATCACCATTTCAGCACTGCAATCACCAAATTCTCCAAAAGGAAGCAGAGATCTGATGCATTTCAGTGTAGGGCAGGA